GCAGCCGCAGAGCAGCGCGAGGAGCGCCAGGGCGCACACCGCACGGTGCCGCAGCGTCATTGCCATCCGTAAAAACAGTGGTGGTGGTGGTGGTAAAAGAGCCGCAGCAGAGCCAGTGGGCTGCGAGGCAGCGAAGAAGAAGAAACAGAGAGAGAAATGGGGAGCGCGGTGGGGTACGGCGCAGAGAGCGAGAGCAGGGAGAGGGAAGGAATAAAAAGGCGGCAGCCCACTAAGTTCACGCAGCAGCGCCCTGCAGCCGCGCGAAAAATGAATTTATTCCGTCCCGCCCCACGCAGATGTCTTTGATGGTGCCAGGGCATTTAGAAGGAACACAACGTGAAACCAAGACACAGTGCTGCTGCGAGGCCACGGGGCACGGCGCCTCCTTCTCCCCGCAGCAGCGCAGCCCGCCGGCTGTGCCTCGTGCCCGCAGGTAAATACAAACAAACACAAACATTTTTTTTTAATACTCCCTTCAGGCATTTACGTAGAAACGCCATCCGCTGCTGCACTCCGCTGCTCACTTCCCCAACGCCGCTCAAATCAACGGAATTGCGGCACCTCCGCGCCGCGTGTGTCTTGGCGTGTTCTCCCCGCACGCCGCACGCAAATAATATCCCCCACGAACACCCATCTGCAATAATTTTCCCAACCGCTTAAAATATATACCTCGTCATTTACTCACCGGGCTGATGCTTCGCTGCGCCGGCGGCAATGTTGTGGTGCGCATCCGCCGCCGCAAACCGCAGCCAAAACTAATTCCACTTCCTCGGCTGCTCAAAGTAAATGAAAGCGAAAAGGCACCGAAAAGCGACAAGCCATTGACCTCCGCGGATTATGCGACACCGTGAAGTCAACCCAAGTCTGCGCCGGCTCGTGTTTCTGTGCAGTTCATTTCAACTGGCTTGGCGGGGTGCAGGCGGGGGAACTCGTGCAGCACGCAGGGCCGTGGCCCNCTCCGTGTGGGCGAAGTTGCTTCCGAGCTCGCGCNGTGTCGTGCCTGAAGCCCCCNGTGC